CAAGCCCCAAAGTATTCAGGGGCTGCTGTTTTTAATTGATCTACCAAACCAAATATTACCAAGTATATAGATATATACTCTCCACACAGCTTGAAAAAAGATTCTTTAAAACAAATTAAAGGTACTTTTAGAGAGTTTGGAGACATAACCTTATTCAATTAGAAAGAGTAATTCTTTGGAGGGCTTCACTACTGTTAACCGGTGTATTCTCATCTGGACTCAAGGTGGGAGTTCTTATTTAATTTTCCCAATTTTGAGGTATGCAACATACTTCACACTAAATTATAGACCTATCTCAACCCCCCACGTTAAAAAAATGTGTTGCTTCATAATTACAGTCATATATATACAGACTATTTGAGAAATTCCCACCCAGCTTCTGTCCGGAGTTTGATGCTAGTAAACAGTTTACTGTTTATCCTCTGATGCAGTAAAAAGGCAGCGCTGACTCTGACTCTTTCTGCAACACGTGCTCGGTTCCTATGTTGGCACCTGCCCCTCAGTAATTCTCCTCCTGTTTAATTAACTTCCATTAGGCTGCTGTCAGAAATCTGATAAGTGCGCTGTGTCTTTGCTCAGAACTGTCTTTTGATCGTGTTGGGACCAGTATTGTTCCCGCACTATATGGTGGCGCTTGGGAAGATCACACAAAAGCATGAAATTAATTTTCATTCACATGCTGATTACACACAAATCTACCTTTCAATCAGACCCGATGGCACTCTGCCTCCTTAACACACTGCTTCAATTAAGTGTAAAAAAATAAATAAAAAATAGACGAGTGAAAATGATACTTTGGGGTTTGCGTCACTGATAAGAATGCCGTGCTGTCAGCTTTTAAATCTAAGGACTTAAACTTTCATTTTGCTCAGTCAGCTTAAAAACCAGGCTTTGTTTTTGACAGTGACCTGTCTTTTACTTCTCACATTAACTACTTAACAGAAATACAGTTCAGAAATAGAAGACTATCACATTTTTTTTTTTTGCTGTTCAAAAAAAAAGTAGAAAAATGAACACGTGACTGACCATAGCAGACGAGATGACTGCAATGTTTAATTTGATGTCTCAGATCACACACTGTGGCTTGGAGAAAATTCAAAATACTGTAGGACACTTAAAGAGTAAACACAGCCGGTCTGGTCCAGCTCTCATGTCTCCTGGCCGCCTTCCTGCTGTGCTCCGGAGAGACTCATTTATAAGCCACTGAAAGGTCAGATCCTGCTTATCTAAAGGGGATGATTAATGTACAGGCGAGAATATCAAGGTTATTATTATTAACAAATACTGAAGCTAAAACAATAGCAAAAGCATTTCTTTAATCAGAATCAAAATGAAACTAAAAGCATGAGACACCAAAACTAAACTGAATTTAAAACAACAAACTCCAAAACTAACTGAAAGAATGTTAAAAATTAGTAGAAATGAAAATGTGTGATTTGTATCTTTTAGCCGAAATTTTTGAGTTGAAAAGCCTACCTATGGGCCATTAGCCTTTATCGGCTTTCCAGATGTTCCTCCTCTAAATCATTAATGGTGAATGTTGACTATGATAAGCATCTCAGATAGACAGAATGATATATGTCTTTGCGAGACTCAGCTTTGTTTCACGCTAATTTAAATACACACGTATGTTGCCACCTGAAGCATGTTTCTTTAGATGTTGACGACTTCAGCACCATGAAAAGGACCCGAAGTGAAATAGGAGGTAACACTAAAAATATGGCTGTCAAACAATTAATACTTTTAATCAAGATTAATCACATATACAATCATGTTGCAACACCATCCAAATAAGATTTTAAAGTCTGCATATTAAGTATATAAATGTACTTAAACAATCAAAATACAAACAAAAATAAACCAGAAGGGATGCTGTTGGATGGCCTTGTGTGACTCCCGTCACCTCCACATCCCCGTCACCTCCACATCCCCGTCACCTCCACATCCCCGTCGCCTCCACATCCCCCGTTGCCTCCACATCCCCCGTCGCCTCCACACCCCCGTCACCTCCCGTCACCTCCACACCCCGCCGTCACCTCCACACGCCCCCGTCGCCTCCACATCCCCCCCGTCGCCTCCACATCCCCCCCGTCGCCTCCACATCCCCCCTCGCCTCCACACCCCCCTGTCACCTCCACACCCCCCAGTCACCTCCACACCCCCCAGTCACCTCCACACCCCGCCATCACCTCCACACCCCCCATCACCTCCAAACCCCCGTCACCTCCACACCCCGCCATCTAATCCCTATTCCTCTCACACACCCCAACCTGTACAATTTCTGGAATTATTGTATGGATCTAACGGAAATGAAAAACCCAAAAAATGTGTTTTTACTCAAATGTTCTGAGCTCCAACTGTAACACATAATTCTGAAACTACACCTATTCATTTATAGCACATCCCACTTACATGTCAATTTGCACAATATTTCCCCACCAATTAGCCAGAAAGTGGGTATTATCTATATTCTTTGCATGTTTGTATATTTATATTCTGTTTATTACTTTGTCATTTGCACTATGACCAATATTTTCCATGACATAACAGCACACTAATGGTACAGCCAAGTAACTGCCATGTAATGTCAGACACACACAGATCGCACTGTATCAGATCTAATGTTACTGCTGCCTACATTGTTTCTGACTGCATACACACATGCTCCAGTGCGCTTTTAATTTCAAATTGAGTAAATAATGTAATAAGATCAAACAGTTATCATATTTACTTGGTCAAGGGTCTTTTACTGTCACCCCCCCTTGCTGCCACTAAGCAGGGTTGCTTCAGTTTTGGTGTGATTTGTCTCAACAATTTTCAAGTCCAAATTGTTACCCGTACAATGTGTCTGCAAAATTTGGAAAAGATCCGACAAATGATTTGATTCAAACCAATTGTTTGAAGCTGTCCTTCTCTGTACTATCACTATTGGGTGCCACTTAATTTTTTTTTGTGCAATTTGTATGAAAATTTGACCACTTCCAGAATGTCCCCTGATACAAATGTGTCTGCAGAGTTTGAAATAGATCTGTCAAATACTATTTGAGTTATAGCATTAATGAGAAAACGTCTGCAGCGGCATAAGCTACAACATAAAAGCATTTCACAGTTTCCACCAGCAAACTTTTTTTTTTTTCTCAGTTTATGACATTGCAAAACAGAAAGTGAACATTTTAGAACAAATAAAGTTTTTCATTTAGAATTTAGGTTATTTGGTAAATGGCTGTAAAAACAGAAGCCTGACAACAATTGGAAGTGGAAATAACTGGAAAGATCTTCATTTACACACATCAGCCTTCAATAGAATAAAACAAATATTGTGAATCATGATATTTTTATTCTTTGAGGCATCTGAGAATTTTTCTAAATGAAATGAACTAAGTAACAATATTTCCTTGCCTTTTCCCTCCATCAGCTTCCCATTTAAACAGCCACTGTTCTGATTGTAGCTGCGCATTCTGTGATTCTGGAGATCATGAATGAAGCTCTCCCATGAAATACAATAAGGAAGGAATCTTGTAGGTCTCTATTAAAGATCTCTGCTCATGCTTGTTTCCAAATGGGGTATAAAACTTAGCACATTAATGCAACCAAAGAACGTGGTTTGACTGAAATTAACGTTAATACATTGACTTTGACAGTTAAAACTACAGTCCCCACACGACAAATGCTAACTGTGTTTGTGCATAAAGGAGCTCTATAGCCAATTCAGTCACTTGAACATAAAAAGAGAACCAGAATTCCCTGGTTCAGCTGTTCAATACGTTTCTGCAAAATCATCGACACAAAGTTCACTCTATCGCTGGTAGAGTTATCAGTCTGATCCCTGAGTAGATGGAGTTAGAAAAGTGTGAGAAATACATATTTTTATGGTTATGCTAAAGGGTGTAAAATGTTCATTTAAATGCTATTATTCATAATAGATTTAGTGTTTTCATTTGAGGGCTTCTTTTTAAAAACTGAAATTAAACCAGTTACAAAGCTTAGTTCAGTATAAATACAAAATAAAATAAGAATGATCAAAAACCAAAACTAAGTTGAAAAGGAATCAAAATTGGAAAAATTAAATATATATATATATAAATTTAAAAACTGGAACTAAAATTACCTTGAGGAACATACTTTCAGACTGCAGGATACAGGTCTCCTTGTAATCCCTAGGACATGCAAAACATCCGTCGGCAATAAAATTGTCAGCTATTGGAACTTTAGCCCACAGAACCATCTGCCAGCAAACGTAAGGCCTGTGTCAGTACGTCACAGGGAACTGATGTACCGTGAATTCACGGATGTCTGCTATACCTGAGTAGCAGTAGAAACCCCCTTTATTTCTGTCGTCTTCGCCATGCCTGGATGCTACCTGTGCCTGAGGCGGACATCAACGGAACGTCGGCAACCAGTCTGGCAACTGCAGCCGCAGATGCGGAGCCTTACCCCCTTAGCAGCTCCGCCGGTCTTAACGGAGGACTCCACGGGAGCTGGCAGCTCCACCCCAAAGCCAGCAGCTCCACCCCAAAAGCACTTACACAATCATTCCTCAGTGCTGCCCTGAACCTCGCATCGTTTATTTCCTGTACACCATTCTGGTTATTATCACCACAAAAATCAAACTAACCCATAGCATTAAACGTTATGCTAGCCTCTACTACTGTTCCCGGTAAATCTCTCCAATACTTCGTTAAGCCAAAATACATGTTGCCACAGAAATTAATACAACCCCAAAAAAGTTGGGACGCTGTGTAAAATGTAAATAAAAACAGAATGCAATGATTTGAAAAATCATATAAACACATATTAGTTGAAAAATGGAACAAATACAACATGTATTTACATTCTACACGGCGTCCCAACTTGTTTGGAAACAGGACTGTATAAATGTGCACTTCACATGGTTCTGGCCCGTGTGGTGCCCTAGTGAGTATCACCTTTGGCTTCCCACACTACACCCCCCCCCCCCCGTGGAAAACCAACAATTGTTCATTGTTTAAAATTGTTTGATTCTGTGTAACACAACAACAAATAATTTAATATGTGACATTTTCATATAATGAAACAATTACAAATAATAATAATATATCTTATAAAAGGTGCTTTGAAGTCCTAATATGTTATTTTATTTGATCACGTTAACTGCATTAATTTTGATACCCCAATGGGAGAATAGTGCGAATAAAGGCAGTCAGTAGAATTTAATTGCTATAAAACAGACTAAAACGTTTTTTGTTATTGAAACTTACTTGTGTATGCGATTAATCGCGATTAAAAAAAACAATTGCTTAACAGTCCAATCTTAATCTTTGTTCATTGTGAATTGCTGGTCTTCTTGTCCTCACTTTTCTTACGGTGTTCATGTCGTGTTAACCAGACGGCATCCTTAGCACCAGCCCACTCCTCACACATTGCGACAGTGCGGCGCCTCCCTTTGGAGATGAAAATGAAATTGGTTGGTTAGTCTGCACCTTCTCAGAAGGTGACACCCACTTTCATCAGACTACCATGGGTTCAAGCAAGCCAGTTTCATTTTGTGTCAGATGTCGCGTGAGGCACACGAGTGAAACCGGCCAGCGTAGTTGCCTCACCAGGTGGCCGTCTATGTCACCTACAGGACTGACCAGCCCTACTGGTTAGAAAAGGTTAGAGCATAAACACAAAGAACTGAAAGGACTATTGAACAAGCATTTCTGCTGTATAAAGCAATTGCAGAATTTGAAAAAGCTGGAGCCCGGGGGGGGGGCTGCATGTTAAGGGTATACGGCAGTTGGTGGGGGGTGGGGGGGGGGGGTGTTTGGGGGGTGTTAACCTGATCTCATGGAGAGCTGCTGTGGGTGCAGGTTTTTGGGGCCCACTGGGGACCCACTGTTACTGGCTGATTGAGAGGTCATCCCAAAAACCCGCACCGGCTCCCCATGGATCGAGCTCGCCACCCCAGCTACAGCCTAATTATAAGCACCCACGATTACGTCATGCTTACATGTGAAACTGCACCCTCACACTGCCGACGTGACCTTGATGCACGATACTACGACTTATGAAAATTTATTTGCATGCTCATTTAAAACACAAATATAATTCTGTTTTAAGATTTGAGTAAAATATTGCCGGCTCTGCTGCTACAACACATAACCAGGCCGACTGTGCATTAGGACATTAATGTTTATTGTTCCCAAACTCCGTAATATGAAAGTCTTTAGGGAATGGATGGCATGATGCTATATGTTCCATGAAGCAAGGCAAATGAACAGTAAATACATTCTATAACGGGCAATTTCCTTTTTTTGTTGTTTTTAAAACCAACCAACCAAACAAATAAATAAATGAACAAAGTTGGATTAAAGATCTCTATCACAAGCTAATATGGTTCTCCAGAAGCTTTATCTTTGGTGTGCAGCACCATCCTCGGTAAAACTACCAATTTCTCAAAAAACATGACAAATTATATCAGATAAAAGTACAGACTCCGATTAAGTCGAAGTGGCTGAGCTGAATTCGGTATGATGAAGTAGTACTTGTATAACGTCGGGGAATATTGTATGAACTGTTTCTGTAATGCATTCCCGAAGCAGTGGCGAGATTTATTATCTCAGTGACAAATGCTCTGTCACTTCGTAATGGGATATTCCCCAAGCACGGCCCCTTTGTTACGCAGCCGGCCGGCGGCCAAGCCTGTGACATGATCGGGGGTGAAAATGTCGACAAGAATTCACAATGAGCTTCAATTACTGACATATTATCCAATGGAGAATCCGTGAAGGTTTTTATTTTTTTTTTTATTTACCTTTGCTGGGAATGCCCTCTTGTCGATTCCAATTCAGCCCATCGGAAGACACCGTGCACAGCAAATGTGCCACAGGCTCACATATATATGTCTTAAAATAATATGTAATATTGGAAGATTTCACTCAGCGGTTGGCCCTGAAGTTATACGTCATCACGTGGATGCCATTTTTTAAGGAAGGGATTTTAACATTGGTTAATATTCCTGAACCCGCACTCAACATCTAATCGAAATTTCAGTGTTTAAATATTTCACGCACTGCGGGCAAATCCAGAGTTTCTGACCTTTTTATGCATTTTTAAAAATGACATTAAATTGATAAATGGTGTTAAATAGTTTGTGTCTTACTGTTCCCAGAAGTAGTTTTCCAGCCATACCCGTGTTTCTACCGAAAATGCACTAGTCAGCAAGCATCACACTTTTATTCTTGGATACAAGTATTATTAATGCGATTGACATGAGTGCGCTATAATTGCAACAGATGATAAATGCTTCTCACTGTACAATCAGCAAGCAGATGGAAAGTGGACAACGTGGGAACCATATTGGCTTCCTGAATCTACACTGCAGGTGAATATGATTTTAATAGGATTTTGCTAAGTAAAATCTGTTCATGCCGTATCGAGGCGCTATTTTACTGTATTTCATCTATTATAACAATTGGCATCACTTTCAAAGTCATAGTGGTAAAACACTCATATTACCCCAGGACTTTCTAACTAAACAGATACCATTGCGGGGCATATTTCGTATTTTTCAAACTGCGGCGCCACCTGCTGGCTGTTCGCCTCCATTATAATCATCGTCTTTATGTATGACAGCATGCATGGAGCCACTTTTATACGCAATAAACGCCATCAGACTTCACATGTGTTGTGTTTTGCATTTTACTACCGCTGCCTAGTTATCAGTTAACACAGATAAATAGAAATATTCATTCGGCTTATCAAGAGCCATGTTTCAGTCCTCATACTCTTCGAGTCCACGCTTAATAAATCAAACTATCGACGAGCGCTGTGTAATAGATTAGGGCAATAATGTCAAGTGTTTAATGAAATGCAAAGAATTTGTGTGTGGCGCAGCGAGATGTAAGGGTAAGTGTAAGGGTGCTGGCCATTCAGCACCAAGGCAGCCTCGATCACGAACAGCACCATGGACAGCGACCCGTTCGGCGCATGCAGTCCGGTACCCCCGAATCCCATGCGTGCGCAATGACCTCGTCAAGCTTCTCTTTAGACATAAAGCAAAACAGTAGGGGAATGAAGACCAGTCAGCGCCATCTAGCTGTGCATTAACAAAATGTCCTCCTGCACCTATAGCTATGCAATAATATATATATATATATATATATATATGTATATATATATACACACACACACACACACACACACACACACTACTATATGAGGTAGTATATTAGAACTATACTGATAAAACTTTGGGCATCCTCCATTCAAAAGATCAGTGTCATTGACTATAAATCAGTTTTAAAAGGATGCAGATTTCAAGATTTACAGACGCAGCAACAGCGCCACCTTTTGCCCATAACCCAAAGGACAATCTCGAGCCTGATTGTATCATATTAATTATTGTCTGACTGACACCTTCTAACGCAGAATAAATGTCATGCCTTTACCTTGGTTGCCCTCTTCACATTGGAAGCTTGAGGTTCTTGCTTACCAGTCCATGTCCTTACTGGTCCATATCTTTATCTCCCAGGACAATGTGACCCCTTTGATGCTGCCAAATACCATAAATGTAAATAAGTAGATTCCTTGCAGGAGAGTCTCATGTCTGTGCAACTGCACAGTTTATTAAGCAGCACTGTTTCACTGAAACTCTGAATACTCACATTTCTGGGGTTCACATGTGGCCCCTGTGTTGCACAGGTTCCAGGTCCTCTGGTTTCCTACTGCAGCCTGGAGACAAGAGTGTTTGCCATCCTGATATCTCTATATTGCCTGTATCTTGGTATTGGGAGTGTGTGAATGCCTGTTTCTCGTGGTACACAGGCACCCTGTCTGGGAAGATCCCCAGCCTTGCGATCCATGCAGTCTGGGACCGACTCCAGGCTCCTTCCCGCGGCTGGACGATGGATGGATGCATAGGACAGTAAATGCCATACACATGAGAACATTCCATCTTTGATAATCTGTATTTATAACCTCAACTGAAATGTATTCCACTGAACTCTGACATGTTAAACACTACGGTTTAGTAGGTAAAAATATACTTATGAAGCCACGTTTCATCTACAGCACCGAATCTACAATCCGAATGGTGATGTCGCTTTGCAACGGATATTTCAATGGCTAAGAAGCAGTCAAGGTTATTATATCCCACTTAACCACCTGCTGAAGTTTGGACGGAAGTCAAGTGCCTCATGCACAATGTTAATGCCTATTTAACAAACAATAGACTGATATTATGTTTCAGGCTGCAGGGATGCATGCTGTTATCCAGAAAAGACCAGTGAGTGTTTCAACAGCTCAGAGACTACTACTGGCTGTCTGTGGTACCATCATGATTCCACTGTCTTCATAAATATCCATCAAAATGTGCTTAACAAGACGGCAGGGCAGACATCCCGAAAACGATCATCTTCCTTGGACATCTTGCCAACAATGGAAAAACGAATGGAAATTGGATGTGCTTAATTCCACTTTTTCCCAGATCAGTATTTCAAGGCCCTTAATTAAAAAAAAAAAAAAAATCAATGTACCAAATAAAAATGGTGCCTCTACTCTGACATTAAATCTCACAAAGCTTGTGAAAAATGGCTGACAGAGGAAATACCCATCAGAAGCTGATGGGGGCCTGATTCCAGGCAAGAAGCAGAAGAGCTGCAAGCCCACGCCTTTGACGGAAAAGGATTCACTGTGTTTTATGTCCCCTTTCAGAGGTCTTGCTTTGTGACGCTGCACTTGTGACCGAAACCGATGAGAAACAAACAAGGCTTTTTAACACCGGTCCCATGCGATAAGAACGGCACAGCGTGAGATACCGTGTAGCAGACCCACGGCCTGATTTACATTTAGCTGCGATTAAGAACAATCAGCAGCAGCTGTAGCCATTTTTATGCAGAAAGTTCCGAAGACTGATTCACAGAAGGCTGTCTTTCCCGAAGCATATTTTAACCGGGAAAATAGACAATGTCGAATGCTTAATGGTGACCCGACTCCAATGGATTAATGGAGAGGGATTTCACCCTGTCACGAGAAAAATGGTGTTGCATGTCGCAGCCTGGCTTTCCTTGTAGGAAGAGCGAAAAAGGTAATCTGCGGAGGCTGAGCAGAAATCTTCCATAGAGCAGAAGCCAGAAGAGGAGATAACTTTTCACTCCATCAGGTTCTTTGGTTAGATGTTTTGTCCACACCTACATTTTTGCCTTTGAAATGGGGCAGATATGAAAAGATGCCCGTTTTGTGATTGCAGTATTATGGCGGTCATACTTGATCCCACATATTAAAAAACCAGCCGTCCTCCATCATTATGCCTCATTCAGAGACGCTCATCTGACCGCATCCTGTACAAGAGTATAAGCGGAAGACGAGCGGGAGGAGGACGAGGAAACCTCCGGATAAGAAAGAATTCCAACGTGCACGTTAACTGATTGTAATGACCAAAGTGTCCCACAAGATGGCGCAATCGAGGTGCAAATCACATTCTGCGAAAAAGATTTTTTTCGGCCTCACGGATCTCCAAATGCCTGTTCGTGGGGGCAAATTAAGGATTTTGCAGGGTTGCCAACTCTCACGCATCTGGCTTGAGACTCACGCTCATGCAAGAAATCGTAAGGCAAATCTATATTGTTCCATCATAAACCTAAAATTAGCTACATTAAAAGGTAGTTTGGAAACCCTACACAATATTTACAAGGTAATAAAACTCTTACATACATGTACTTGCAGACTTGTCTCTCGAAGAATTGAAAATCTCATTCCAGGCAGCTGAGCAGTTTGCAGCCCTGGATTTTGTGTTTGTGATCTACAACACCAACGCGCACCTGCGAACAGACTGAAAACATGTTTCTTACAAAATCTTTCTTTACTTGTACGAACCTACTTCCCTGCAATGTATTTCATAATTAGCTTTTAAAATGAACCCAAAGGTCTTTGTCGATTTTTAACCGTTTGTATGAAGTCATCTGTTCAGCGTTAAAGGCAACTGTCGAGATAGATGGAGGTGTACACCATCTGCTATAAAGGTGCCAGGCATGAGTCATTGTTTAACAAAACCAAGATGAACTTTTTCTCTGACCACCGCAACAAGCACTTCAAGCCACGTAAACACACGGAGTCAATGGGGCTGGTGGGGATCGTTGACAAAGACTGCAAACGGCATGATTTTCAGTGCTGCAAACATCTCATTTCCTAACTTCACGGCAGATCGCCATTGCCCTTCCAAAGTAATGAAAATCCCGCATTACGAAAAGCAGTATGGACCGCCATGTATGTGCTCGACATTTGTTATGCATTTCAAGTGAACTTTGCACACACTATAGTAGGTAAAACCAAACCCAAGCTTGAACCCGCCTTATCGCGCTAAAACAGAACCTCAAAAGTTCACTAAACTAAATATAATCCCGCTTGGGGGAAAAACATCAGACTGATGCAGATCTGCGCTCCTCGCTTAACTAACTAGGTAATATTCATTAGGCCGTCATCGCGCGCTGCCTTCAGTTTCGCCGAAATCATTATGACATCATTATACTGAATGATGTGGCCGATTAAGGCGAAACCTACGGTTGCAGGGTGTATAAACTTACGAACGAATCCAAAAACGAGGGCTACTTCATTGGAATTAAAAATGCCATTAAGGCATGCTTGTCTATAGAACATGTCGTGGTATAGTAACTCCGCCGCATTAATTAATACCACTCTTTAGGAGAATCGACATTTTTAACGATTTTAATGTGTTTAAAACAAGAGATTGCAATCAAAGCCCATTTCCTAAATAGCTTAAACTAATCCCGAGCATAATGTTTTCTGGCCATCAGTACGGGGTTGTCAAACGCAGGAATCTGAAAGATGAATTATTTAACCAGAATTAAGCCGGACACAGACAGCCTTGTAAACAGCCGACGATGGGAGCAATATACAGCTGGTTTGCCAACTAATCCATGTCGGAAAGGACACGGACAGGTCAGGATTTGTACAGTACAACTTCAACCAAAAGGACCCGGATAGCGCTTAAGCGCAGAGTTGCTGTGCTGTGTGCTGATCGATCAGTCCCCTGTCATCATGCCTGTCTCACTATTCATCGTGCCTGTTACTATTTTGACCCCATTTTTGTTAGTCTATTAACTATCTCATTTGGATTTCGTTGGATTTGGACTTGGCTGCGTTGTTCAATTAATATAGACATTGTAAATAATGTAAGAAAATGTAAATAGTTTTGTGCGAGGGTTGTAGGGAGTGGCTGTCATTTATTTTCTTGCATGGGTACCGTGTGTGTGTGTGTGTGTGTGTGTGTGTGTGTGTGTATATATATATATATATATATATAAAATTCAAGTCCTACAAGAAAATATTTCTGAGATGAACGTAATTCTAAAACCTTATAATCAAATGTCTGGATATTAATCATGCATTCACTTGACTTGACAGGGCAGAGCAGCGTATGTCGCCAACAGGATTGCCCAGGCTGCTTCATTAGGACAGAAACATTTAGGAAAAGCCCTGTATACTTTAGAAGGACAGAGGCTGGGACATTTATTAAAGTCAGTTTTGTTTCAATAAGCATGTAGCGGTGGAAATGAAGGATTTTTACCGCAAGGAGACTTTTTGCATGATGGGTTTCTGGCCTGATTCGGTTTAATATACACATTCAACAGATCATGGGCATCGTTTGCTTTACTCAGGGTTAGATGTGGGCAGGATGATTATCAGAACTGTGTGACACAGGGACCAGAGAAGGAATCAGAAACAGCAGAATCCCTGACATATAACCAAACACAGGTATGCTTTTTAAGTATTTTATTAACGTCAGCAGTCAAACGCCTTAGACCACATGTGATGATGCAGAAATAATCCGCAGAGACAGAAAACACAGAAGCTGGCAGGATATGAGGGCATTCCTGTGAAGCGAAGCACAGATGGAGAGTGACCTAGGCTTCCACCTCCCCCATCAGTCAGTGCAGTCAGGCAAGATCAAGACAGGAGCCAACTCAGTAATTAGTAATGTGTAGCTCTGATATCCATTGGATATGCCTAAGCACATGACTGACATTGTGCCAAATTGCATTGTGGGAGATGTAGTAGAAGCATTCCAGGATGGCCAGATGATAACGTCTCACTCCCTCAAAGAAGTAAAAAAAGAAAAAAAATGACATGGTGCCCATTTATGTCAAGAACTGGTTTACTGAATGTGACCCGCCTTGCATACAAACATGACAGGTGGTTGGCTACATGGCCTGACAGTCCTGGATCACGCTCTATTTGCATGGTCACCTTAGCAATCATTCTGCCCTGCAATCTCCAGGACTGTGTGTGGTGATGCACGACCATCCCTTGGATTAGGACATGAGCCATTTCCTGCAATCAACAGCTAGGAAAAAAACACCAAAAAGCCAAAATCAATGAACAACCCCCCCCCTCCCCACCCCGCCCAAACTGGTCAACGGGGAGGAAGGAGCAGCTTTGCTCTCCGATTCGTGGGTAGTGGGATGAATGAGATGCATCCCGCGTTTCCAGCTGATCCGGGGCGCGGATGATGGCCCATCTCTCACGCTCCTTCATGCGGTACCAGCCAGCCTGCTCTGATATTTAACGTCCAAGTCAAGCGACACTGACACACCTCAGGACAGCATCACTGAAGAACACAACTTCACAGGAAGAGACTCTTGCAGCACAACGTAAATACAAAAGGCAAAGTTTGATCAGATGGGGAGGGGTGAACCGGCACTAATATAGTGCATAAAGGCAAACTTGCTGTTTTCATTCACTGAAATTTTACTTTAATTTCCTTTTGGCTATTGTCATTTTTTAAGTATTAAAAAGTCACCTTAGGAAAGAGTAAAGGCCGTCCATCTGTTACAGGGAGTTCCCTTGCCAGGTTCTGATAAAGTCCTGAAAATGTCAGGACGGGGCTTACTGATTTGGATCGGGGGAACTCTCCCTGCACCGTGTGCTGTTAGTGTGGGGCGTCCTCACAGGACCCGCCCTGTTCATGGCACTCAAACACCCCAGTCAAGCCCTGTGTCCCACGGCTCCCCAGCCGTGAGCAAGCTGATCTGGGTCTCTGTCCTCTTTATTGAAATGTTGCATATGTTTCCTCCTGTTGCAGCCTGGACTTGCGCCCCCTTGATTTATCCAGGCGGGCCGGTCACATGTCCACGTCTCCGTCGTAAGCCAGGGTCAGAGGTTTCTGTGGCGGAGAGGAGCTCTTACTCTGCACAGGTGTTTTACTGTAAATTAAACATGACAGCATTTGTTTTAAATTCAGCTTCCCACAGAATTCAAACTTTAAAATGCACCACTTGATGGCGCCAGTGAGCTTTTTCAATAAAAATAAATACTTCATAACTTCTGGGTAACTAAAGTAACATTAAGTACAGATTGTTGCTTTAAGGGCAAAAAAGCTGAAATAACAATAATATGGTTTAGAATCCCATGAACAGACAACACCAGTTGGATTTAAAAACAGGCCGATCTTTCATAATGGTGTTTGGCAGGATATTAATATAGTTGTTTATATATGCAAGCACGAATAATCTTTTTCGTTTTATTACTTGGGCTTTACTGAAAAGCAGAGTGGCTTCTGGGAAGAGATTCAGACCGAGGCGTTTCTGCGGCGATACGTACCACAACAGAAAGGACAGAGCAATAACCAGCACGATCAGAGCGAATCCTCCAGCGGTCAGGCCATAGACCCACATCTTTACTCTGCCATCTGTGCCATCGGAGAACAGCGTGTTATGTATCTGATTAGCACCTCACCCTTATAAAAAACACAGCCTTTCATTCAGCACACCCCTGTGAGCCAAGAGGGCAGCAGCCATTTTTGTCATCAAAATTTAGGGTCCTCACAGACAAAACATACAGAGCCTCAAAGGCTACATGCTGCTGGAGGGTATGGGGGCAGGTGGGGAGGCGGACAAACGTGGGGAGGAGGACCGGAGCCTGGCTGTGTGAGGCACCGACCTGTGAAGAGGCTTGGATGCAGCCCAAACGCCAGCGATTGAAAACAGATGCTGGAACCGCACGCCTGCAAATGGCTCCAGTCCATGTTCATGTGCATGAGATGCATTAAATGATCTCACATTGTCCAGTGAGCCTGAGCAAGTCAAGGGGCTGGAATGTGGATGGATGGATAGGATTCACCTTGCGGTGATGCTCCCTATCGTTATGAACGAATGAATAAAAGTTCTGGTTTGTGTTCGGAGCTGGACATTCGACCCCATCTGTTTATTGCAGAAGAGAGCCGGTCCACTTAGTGATATATATTCTTGAGATACTTTAGATGTTCGCAGACAAGATAAAGGAGATATTCCATACTACAGATAGACAGTGTGACCAGGCCACTGTATAGCTGGGAGTTCAGTTGTTTTTGGTCTGGCATCAGCATCGACCCAGAAGGACAGTGATGTGCTACCTGGTCCGACGGGCTTCAGCGACCACTCGTGGAAGAACTCCTGGATTTGGGACGTCCCGGGCTTGAACCTGCCAGAGTTGATCTTGACGTCGGCCTTGTTATTATCAAGCCCTGGGGTGCGTGTGCAGTAATCCAGAAATCCATGGGCAGTCATCACTTCTGTGTAGCCAGCCTCACAGCCGCAGACGCCCCTCTGGGGGGGGTGGGGGCACAAACATATGAGTATTCATCTGGGGAGGCCCAACCCTTTTAATGCATTTTCTGATCTAGTCACAGGCACTCAGATTACACTGCAGTTCAATATATTTTGAATGACTGATTTATTGAATCCCTGCTACCAGAGGTCCAGAAGAAAAGTCCAGACCAAGACTGTTTCAACCAACAAACAAAATCTTCGTTTGGATTTTAATCATCTGGACCTTAATTTCCCACCTCAGCCTGGCACCCAGAATGAATTTAATAACTTATATATTAAACTACGTGTTAACATAACACATTTTCATGGATATTAAATTACCCCCCACCCCACCCACCCCCACTGGCAGTACTGACTGCAGGTGCTCTGCGAGGACCTTACCTGTGTGCAGTGGGAGAACGGTTTGGTGCAGGGGGGATAGCAGTGCCTGATGGTCGTGGGCATCTCCTGCGGGACGCATCCTCCTGTGGGCGGCAGTGAACACCCTGCCCGTTAGCCCCTCCCACTCGCAGCCAACAGCCACACAGACAACACGCCCGACCTGATGGATGGCTCTGGGAGCCTATCAGGGTCTCCCATTGGCTTGTGGGCGGCGTAATTTTTGCAGCAGAAAATTGCACGTCAGAATGTGCACGAGTAATACCACCCTCCGAGCCCCCTGGGGGGGCGGTGTATTCGGTGCAGAGGGAGATGGTGCCGGTGGGGCTCATGAGCGCCGCGGAAGCTTCCGTATACTGATAGCATCTCCTTAGTGCTTATTTACAGCACATTATTCTACTTGTAGCCTTTAGCCTTTTGTCATTTGGTTCATTTATGAAGCTGCCTTATTTTACACTT